TAAATGAGATAAAACCCGCGTCCGAATTTCAATTCACATCAACTCAGATTACTGATATAGAACAGTAAAACGTCATTTCTGATGTTAACAACCAAACAATTTTACTGGCACTTTTAGCTTAAGTTTTAGCAAATTAAGAACAAGAAAAGGAGGAAAGTGAAATGAGTATGTTACTACTACTACTTTTACTTTTATCAAAGTGTGGGTCAACCCGAACTGCACGTCTTTTCTAAGCTCAGGTTCCACATGACACGTCACTCCAAACATATCAGCTTTACCTGGTGATGGCTTCTTAAGGCACCCTCAGGGTAGGAGCTGGCTCACCTCCGATCAGTCAGGGAACTGAATGTCTGCTCGCTTACCGGTCATTAGCGAACAGGTGTTTTTTCAGGTAACTTTGCATCTGTTTCAGTCCAAGCCAGAAAAGTTCCAGCTGTATCCGGTCCCTTCTTTCCAAACTAAAATCTCCCCACGGAGATAAAAACACACTTTAGAGGCTTGAAGCCTCAGGGTGAGACCGGCTGGCCTGCTGGGTCCCTGGCTGTTAAGTCTCCCCTAGTTAGCTCATGGGATCAGACTTAAAAGCCAAACTGGGTTTTCTCTGGAGAGAAAACTCAGCTTTCTTCCTCGGTTGGAGTCAAGAAGAAGAGTGTGTCGCTCAAAGCCGTCCGGGTTAGTAAAAGAAACGGACGAACTTTGGTTCCGCCCTCAGGCTTAGAGATGAGTCAGAGAAGAAAGATAAAGATTTGCCAGCGGCACAAGGTCAAGGTTAAAATTCTGTGGCTGTTCACAACAGGATATGATAACCTCTTTTCAGCTTTCTTCTGATAGACTCTAAGAGAAATCACTGCAAAACATTTATGATGATTAATTAACATTTCTGTTTTATAATCAGTTCTGAACCTTCTGTTGGTCCAGATAAATGAAAGATTTTCTCAGTAAAAATCCACAATTAAATTACTGTGTTCACAGTAAAATAAAAACAGTGATTTACATAAAAACACAATGAAAACATTGCAATGAGATTCCTGTGAATTTTTATACCATTATTAGTCTTTAAGGCACGATAAAAGAAAAGAAGTGGTTCCACTTTTCCTGTGACAGCCATTATCATGATTTAACAAATGCATAAACATTCTCAGTTAAACAACCAATGAATCACGAACAGAAGAGATTGTTCTGTCCATTAACTGATTAAGAGAACTGAGGGGTTCTCTTCCACGGTTAGAATGACCTGTCATGGCCTAAATAGAGTTCAGTTTGTGACAGAGTTCCTGTCCTCTCGTCAGGCCTGTCCGAGGCCTGCTTTGAGGCAGTAAACCTTGTTTCTTCACTCGAGGTGACCCCTACACTCTGGTATCATGGCTACCTGACAACGGAGCTCAGAAGTGTGGGATCATTTTAAGAAAATGAAAGCGAAACCTGTGCAATATCTGCAGAGCAGATTTTGCCTTCCACAGCAATTATTTTTAGTTAGCATATAGCTAAAATCTAACCATGGTTATATAATAGCAGCTGCATTCTGGCACGATAAGCTGTATGTTTTATATTCAATTAACGTATGATCCGATATGTCGACTAATTGAAAAAACAATCTGTGATTAATCGATTATAAAAATAATCATTTGTGGCAGCCCTATCTCGCTCTGAAGCATGGAGGCGTGTCACAGGTAAGCTAGTTTCAACTGGTTTTTATGACGCGGTCTCATTTCCGGACTCAATAATTTTGCCAATATTTCAGTTAAAATACATAAAATATTTATCCGAGTATAATACTACCCCCTAACTTCATGGATGATTTTATGGATTAAATTTTACGTATTATACTTGAATAAATACAGTAACTGTGTATCTTGACAAGCTAGCTTCTCTTAGTA